TTCTAATAAGTTTAGAATGACGTGATTCTGTTAAAAATCACTCCGTAAATTGAAAATTTGCGGAAAAAACAATTTCAATTTCGGAGTATTAAAAAAAAAAAACGAATTTTCCCAGATATGACACATACGCCAAATCATCACATATTTGGTCTGCAACAAACGCTCAATTTTTTGATTTTTTCTATGTACGCCATTTTTTTTAAATTTGGATTACGTAAAAAAAGTCATGGTCATTTTTTCGCCGAAAATTGAGAAAAAGGAAAATGCCACCTGGCGGCCAAATTTTGAAATTAAAAAAAAATGCGGATTCTAAATTTGATGCCCGAGCAGCGAGCACTACTAAATTATGCAAAAAACCATTTACAAAAGTCAGCGGGCTAGATTTTCATGTCTTCAACGTATATATAGAGTGAGGCAAAATATACATATTTCATATGTAGGGGGTATTGCGTCACTTGCTGTCATCCGCCGTGATAGCCGTGGGCGTAAAATTCTAGACCAACAAATATGTTCAAACCTTGGCATCGAAATATTCTTTAATTTAATAGCAGAAGTACTCGCAAAAGATTTTTCACACTTTCATGATGAACTCATTTGAAAGTGTCAGAATAAAAACTCAACTTCGCATTTCACCTCTTACTCTCTCCTGAAGGATTTTCCATAAGTGTGAGCAGGAGGTGAGATATGAAGTTGAGTTTTTAGTTTTGAGAAATTTCAACGAGAATTAAGAGTACAAAAAAAGAATACCCCTAATTATGATTAAAATTTCTTGTGTAAAAATTAGTGTCGTACCGGACAACATACGTGGAACAGGCCCAAAACGTCTTGATTCGGATTCTCTGACCTCAGAAACGTCCAGAAAGCATGTTTTTGAGATGTAAATTTTGACCTATTGCAATACTTTCCCCTTACACACTTGGTGTGTGCGGAAAAGTAAAATGTCGGTGGTAAAAAATCGAAAAATATAAATTGCCACCTGAGCGGCCAAATTTTATTGTGGTTTCTTAGTTTGGTGCTCAAACAATACTAAAATATGCAAAAACCCCTTTACGAAAGTCAGCGGTCTCGATTTTTTTTATTAAGCGTATGTTGAGTGTCGCGTTACTCTATCACGGGGGACGGAAGTCCCCCAAGTGACGCAATATACATATATATTATATATGAACCGTTGAGAAATATAGATACCTTCATTAAAGTTAACCATAAAACTGCAACATGTCCATACATTTTTTGTATGGACATGTTGCAGTTTTATGGTTAACTTTAATGAAGGTATCTATATTTCTCAAAGCACGACGATAATGACAGCTCGGCAACGCTCTATTAGAGATTAGTACCGCTGGCAACCGCAGAACTATATAGAATCAAATGGAGTCATTTGGTGGCGCTGGCAAGCAATTTTGCCTTATCGTCATGCTTTGATATTTCTCAACGGTTCATATATATACTATATGTTAATTGTAATTGCGTCACTTATCCCTCGTGATACATAATCCTTCATGGGGTCAATCAGGAAATTCTAGTGCGTCTAGTTTTTGATAAAATTTCACTAGAAAACTAGAAAATTCTAGTGCGTGAAGTTGTCTCTCAGTAGTTTTTCATATAAATTATATGGCCTTTGGTGTGAAGTTGGCTTCGTTTTTGACGTCATTCTTCGCACTAGATTTACTAGTTTTTTTAGTATTCACTAGCGTGATTCGCCCCATGTAATCCTTGGTATCGTCAGAAGCTATGTTTTCAGTTTATCCATTCTTGTCTTTGGTATGGAAATGGAATCATTTGTTGATTATTTTTCAGTTCACAGTTTTATGCAACAACAATTACTATTGTTCGTAGAGCGGTCGACAATTTCAGATTCAGACCATTTTAATAAAGTTGTGCTATTTCCTTTAAAATTGAAATTGAACAGAAAAATATGAATGGAATGTTTTTTATATATTTTCCTCAGCGTCCGTTCTATTGAAAGCATATTTTTTTTATATCTCGCAAAAAGTGAGTCCTCGAAAGAGGGAAAAAATCACAATTATAACAGTTGATTTTCAATGTTTATTATAAATAAAGTGAAAAGAAGTCAACTTCATATTCAACCCCAAGATTACGAAACAACATATATTGAATGAGACAAAAGCATAAGCAAAAAACCAATCTATTGTATCGAACGCGCGACAAGATCGACTATTTCATTATCATACAAAATGCACTGTGATTACGAGCGAGAGAGTGCCATTCAGTGTGAATTGTCGCTGTTACTATTGTTAACTCATGTTTATTGTATAAGTTTCTATAGACTTTTGTTCATGTGACATCAAACGTAAAATTATAAAAATCAAAACATATAAGCACTGGTAAGCATACAGTACACGTTGCTGTAGAACATCACCTATTGTTCACTGTTTAGTCTATAACAGAAGCACGTATTCCTAGATAAATACAATCATGAGCCAAAAATGACGATATTTCTCCTTACGCACCATCAACTCTATTCTTATGGGTACACAGAGCATAAATTCCGAGTTACGCGAAAGTTTGGTTAAATCAGCATTGTTTTTTTAGCTTATATCGCGGATTTCACACACTCACGTGCATGTTGATCTGTTAAAATCCGCTACCAACCTAGAGCATACAGATCTGAATCTTTACTTGTTGTAATTTTTCTATTTATGCGCTTCGAATGTAACACGTAGTTGATTGTGTACTGTTGCTTCTAATTGAACGTTCCCCGGAAAGCAATCCCTGCTATTATTCACAGAAGTATGCCCACGAAGAAAACAAATGACTCAAGTAAGCCAGAAAATACTCCATTTTCACAATGGAAATAACCTTTTGCAATATCTCATGTAATGATCTTCAACCAGAAACATTGCGATGACACAAAACCCATTTCATCCATATAAAAATGTATTTTCTCGTTCCATCCTTAATACATAGGAATTCTGCGTTTTTACCGACGTTGGAATTATCCCTTAAGTAAAATAAAGAACAAATATTATGATGTGAAGTTAATGTAAATGCTGACGAAAGTACACCACCCCTGAGTATGTCACGTTTTCGGTTTATATTTTTTGTGACAATTTCTGTGGTAATTGTTATAATAACCGAACAGCGTTCTTTCGCCAGTTTTGAAAGAGATAAATAAAAATTATTATAAAAAGATCTACCATGTACGCACTTAAAAAATTGTCCATTAGTTTTTATGTACATCGTTTTCAAAAAGGAAATAACAAGCCAAATTTGCAAGTATTCATAAATATGCCGGATAAATATGACAAAATTCGACTCGAAATCAAATTTTAGTGCTTAAACACGCTTATATATCTCTTTCATTTTTTATTTTCGAAAAAGTTAAGTCTAATTTTATTTTCAAAATTTGAGTTTTTGGCAATATGTTGGTGTTTAAATGACTTAACACGTTTCAAATATTGTGTCATTGTGAATTTAATTCAAACTATAAAATAGAGATAGGAATTCATGTCCTGTCTAGGCCTCAAAGCACAAATATATACATCAAATAAACGTGAACGGAACATCCGAGATTAAAGAGTGTGCCCTTCATCTTCACGACACCACTACATCGATAAAAAGCTACGAATTATGAGCATTGAGCACTTTTCATTTGTAGAAATTCATAACAACAAAACCTACATTTGCACATTCAAACATACAACGCAGCAATCCGACGCAACCAAAGTATTTGCCTCGAAACACGCATCACGGAAAGAGAGAACGGTTTTAATTTTCCTAATGGATATTGATTTTTTTTATTCGGAAAATATACGGTGAAAAACCACACTTGCTTTGCAGACTTTACTATTTACTCGACATTTCGGTTGTGTTGCTTTTGGTTGGAAACCCCTTTTGCTTTCATGTTTGTCATGTTTTTATTATTTCGAAAAGATTGAAGGAAAAACTTTTCTTTATATGAAATGAAAACGTTTTGGTTCGGGTTCATTGAAATAGCAAGATTGAGAAAATCGATACCAATTCTAAATGGTGTGAAAACCAATTTTGAATTCAAAAGCAAAAAAACTTAGAATAAGAAATATTTTAGCCATGAAAATGAACGATATTTCAGAAGAATTTAATAGAATCGGGTATATATATGATTATTCGCAGCCGTATTCTGCCATCTGTCACAAAATCGAATGTGGTCAAACCATGAACGAATTTTTTACAATGTTCTTCTCGTATTATTAGGCGTTAAAAAATTTATTTGTGCTTCATGTATTGATTGTTTCTTCTTAGAAATGTTTATCAAAATGGGTTGACATAATTCAACTAAGTTTTTCACTTTTCAGTCATTGAATTTACATTCTTTGAAATTTGTTTATTTTGTGCGTCAAAACGAATGTTCTGTGATTGTTTTTTTTTATTTTGTTTAACTTCTCGAAGAGAAAAGGAAAAATTTCGAGTGAAAAAATCAAGAACGAGCATAAAACCCAATGTAAGTAAAGACCTTCAACAATATTAAGGCGATGAATCAACCATTTTGTTACCTCTGTTCTCTTTGAAATACTATATGCTGTTTATGAGTATGATTTCAAGTGTGCTTTTATTTTTTGCTTTCTTAAAATTTTAAGGAACTTCCACTCTCATACCGTCGACTGTGCGCGATGCTATAGCAACCAATCATCGATTTCTGGGCGAGGCTAAAAAATTCAATACATGAAACGCACACGAACAACGCCAAGCGTAGCTATGATGAAAATTAATGTTCACGTACACATTTACATGTACATACACATACGTATGCTACGCACAAAGTCATCAACACAACTTGTATATATAAATAGGACGTATATGTGTACATAATATGAAATACATGCACTCTGAGCGATGTGTTTGTTAGTATACCGTTTGTACAAAGAAAATAAGAATGAACGATACGACAAATAACAAAAACAGGCTCAAACACCAAATGAGCCATGCTCTCAAAAATGCCGTATAACGTGCCACGAACGTTTGTGAACCAGAGTGACTTCAGTAGTTTTTTGGTAGTTGCGACGATCACATCGTGAAACGTGCTAGTGTGATAAATTTTCGTTTCACATATCGCAATTATATGATTTCTCGTTTCTCTTCTTTTGAAATAACTGATAAAAAATAAAGAACCGTGAAGTTGCTGTTATTATTTTTTTTTCATGTATCGAAGTATTTGAAAGTGTGGTCCTGGCATGAGATAAATACTGGTGTAGACAAAATAATTTCAAAGTTTTACGAGTCCGTTTTTTCTCGCCTTGTTGAACCGGCACACTTATTGTAAATCAAATAAAAACAAGAAAACATAAACTTAGTTGCAGAAAAGTGGCAAACCAACGAAAAACAATCAATAATATTATTTTTTTACGCGTTTCTATACAAAAACGTATAATAAAAAGCAAAGGATTTTTCAACGATCTTCGCGCATTTTTCATCCCTCTCTAAAATGAATTGCTGTTCATTGTGACGGACGTGGATAAATAAATATGATATTTGATATTTATAAAAATTTCATTTATGAATTTTGTGAGATATTTCACTGGTGCCTTTTTCTGTAACGAAACTAACGAAAATATCCGTGGAGTGGTTAATAAATTGGTACAAAATAATAGCAATAATTACATCTTGAAGAAGTTGCAAATTCAATATATTTGAACATTAAGCATAGCCGAATATTCAAGCTAACCAATTTGATCTTCAGTCTAATGAGAACACAGATAGTTATTAGTGATTGTAGCGACGATAAAATTGTGTAACAGACCAAATTGGAATTCTTGCAACAAATTACAATTCAATGGCAATGACAGATATTAGCAATCCGATGGCACATCAGCTGCCATTGCACAATCATCGTGGCGGCTTAGTACAACCGTCGCTTGTCATGAACCATCATTTGGATATGGATTGCCACGGAAACGACATTCGAACTAGTAAGTTTTGATTTAATAGCTGAAGAAAATATAGCTTTGTCTTAGATAACTTATTCGAATTTCCTACAAATCTGACCAAATATATTGATCAGTATGTATGTAATAATATCAGTTTGAGTTATAGTTTTTCAGTTTTAGTCAAAGAGCTAGAAAACAATACATCTCCATTCCAGAAGGTCGATGACTTTAGTTTTGATGAAATTCATATGTCTACTCATGTGACCAACTTCTAATATAAAAACGACACTCCCACTCTTCTTACTCTTTTTTCATAAAATATCAAAATAAAATTTATAGTTTGTTTATTGTTTTGAATCAATAAACGATATTTTTTACAGCTGCAAATGTTTAATTTTGATGTAAACACATGTTCTTTTGATTTAACCGACAATTGCGACAATTAATCAAAGAAAAAAGAAAACATTTATTTATTTTCCATACAAGCGGTATTAGCGCGAGTCATTTTTCAAAAAAACAACTACAATAAATAACTATTAAAAAAACTCTTCATATAAAATATAATAAAAATATATATATAAAATAATTTAATTCAAAAAAATTCAAGCTAGCAATATTTTTCTTTTTGTATAGTTCCCATTTAAAAAAATTAAACACTCAAAAGTCACTGTGATCCACAACATGCATTTATTACGTATCTAATACCGTAAATATGAATTCATGAGAAAACTGAATCTGATATAAGTTTTGCGATACCAATAATTTTTGAAAGACTTTTCAATGCCTGTATGATATCGTAATCATGTGAAAATTTGCAGATGTTATTTTTTCACAAAAGGCTAATATTCTGAAAGTTTGAAGAGATTTCAATACAATTGAGTGGTACCTTCCATACAAAATTTTTGTTTTTGAGCAAAAAATCCAAAATTTTGTTTGGGAGGTACCTCTACTATGCATTGAAATCTCTTCATACAGGCATGGCTTCCATACAAAAATCCAAATTTTTTAAAATTTTTGTATGAAAAGTGCGTCGAAATATATTTGTATCGCAAAACTAACGTCATATTCGGTTTTCTCGTATCCAAAAACCCCCCAATACATATTTTTGAGTGTTTAAGTATATATTAAATATCACTTTTGGAAGAAAAATTGAATTTTTCCCATGGATGGACATGGGCATCACACCCATCAGACATGACACTTCACTCTGTCAACCAAAGTCGCTCAAAATCTAATGGTTTCTATTCCACGGCACCCCCAATCATCCTGTGAAGTCAGATTTTGAATTACTTTTCTGGTTTGAAAGTTATCGTGTTAACAAAATTTTGCGTACAGCGTACAGCGTACAGGGTACCACGCACATACATTCGGACATCGAAAAAACGCTAGATTCGTGTTCCCTGGGTCCCAAAACACCCAGAAAACATGTTTTTTGAGGGTGTTAATTTTTCGACCGATTCCAATACTTTACCTTACACACTAGGTGTGTGCGGAAAAGAGAAATTGAATAAATTGAATACAAAATTTAAAAAAACGTAAGGATATAAACAGAAAAGAAATAATTATTCATATTTACAAGAAAATAAGCGCTTTGTTCTTGTGAGCTCTGTGTATCGGTGCGATTTCTGCGCTCTTGTTCATTTGGTGGTTGCCACTTCAAGCGACGGACATAAATTCCAATTTTCTGCCATGTTGGGTATAGCGTTTTTTTATCCAAAACTTTACACGGAGTATTACTTTTCCGCACACACCTAGTGTGTAAGGTAAAGTATTTTTTTCATATAAAGCTAACATTCTGAAAGTTAGAAGAAATTTTAATGCAATTTAACCTTCCATACGAAAATTGGGAGATATCCCTAAAATGTATTGAAGTTTCTTAAAATTTGCTGATATAGTGTATTTTGGCAAGAAAGTATGATTCACAAGTTTTTATGATGATTACTCCAAACATTTATTGCGTTTTGTTGATTCGAAATTGATCGGTTTTCCCCAAATTGTATATTTGCAGTAATTTAATCACAGTGAAAACTCCTGAATCTTATTTTCTTGCCAAACTACAAAATCTCAGCAAATTTGAGGGAATTTCAATGCATATTATGAATACTTCTCATATAACATGTTCGTTTTTGAGCAAAAAATCCAAAATTTTGTTTGGGAGGTACCTCTAATATGCGTTGAAATTTCTTCAAACTCTCGGAATGTTTTTTTTTTTGTGAAAAAAATAAGCTATGCAAAGTTTCAGCTCATTACGATATTATACAGGCATGGCTTCCATACAAAAATACATTTTTTTTAAGTTGTATTAAAAGAAAATTATTTGTATCGCAAAACCAATATCAAATAAAAAGGAACTTACATCTGTAAGTCTAACTTTTCCGTACTGTTTCCAAATTTCTTCCTTTACCGAACTGGTAGTGCAATACTAATGTCTAAGAGCAGTCAACCTTTTTGGCCAATTAATAAATTATTGACGTGTAAATAATTCAAAATGTGTAGCGTGTGTGTTGTACGGAAAGAAAAATCACCAAAAATGTGATTTTACTTTTCCGCACACACCCAGTGTGTAAGGTAAAGTATTGGAATCGGTCGAAAAATTACCACCCATCTAAAATGTGTTTTCTGGGTGTTTTTGGGGCCAGGGAACACGAATCTAGCGTTTTTTCGATGGCCGAATGTATGTGCGTACCCTGTACCCTGTACGCAAAAATTTGTTAACACGATAACTTTCAAACAAGAATAGTAATTCAAAATCTGACTTTACAGGATGATTATAGGTGCCGAGGAATAGAAACCATTAGATTTTGAGCGACTTTGGTTGATAGAGTGAAGTGTCATGTCTCGTGTGATGCCCATGGCCATCCATGGGAAAAATCCAATTTTCTTCCAAAGGTGATATTTAATGTATACTTAAACACTCAAAAATATGTATTGGGGGTTTTTGGGTACGAGAAAACCGAATATGATGTTAGTTTTGCGATACAAATAATTTTTGACACACTTTTCATACAAAAAATTCAAAAAATTTGGATTTTTGTATGGAAGCCATGCCTGTATGATATTGTAGTGAGCGGAAACTTCGCACAGGTTATTTTATCACACAAAAATAACATTTCGATGGTTTGAAGAGATTTCAGTGCATAATAGGAGTACCTCCCGAACCTCCCGAACAAAATTTTGGATATTTTGCTCAAAAACGAAAATTTTGTATGGAAGGTACCACTCAATTGTATTGAAATTTCTTCAAAATTTCAGAATGTTAGCTTTTTGTGAATGTTAGTAAATTTCCACATGATAACGATATAATACAGGTATATGATATCGCAAAACTTATTAATTTTAATATTTTAATACAAATTGAAGGTACCACCCATACAAAATTTTCGTTTTTGAGCCAAATATTTGTGATTGAAATTTCTTCCAATTTGGTGAAATTATGTTGTTTTGATAAGAAATAAGATCCACAAGTTTTAATTGTGATTAAGTTACTGCAAGTATACATTTTGGAATGAAATTCGATCAATTTTGAGTCAAATGAATTCCCCTAACTGTATGATTTAATCACCGTAGAAACTTGTGAATTCTATTTTCATGGCAAAATACATAATCCCACGAAATTTGAAATACTTTCAATTGAAAGTGGGGGTATTCCCCATGCAAAATTTTCGATTTTTCGCTCAAAAACGAAAAATTTGAATGGGAGGTTCCCTTAATTTTGATTGAAATTCCTTCAAACTTCCAGAATGTTATTTTTTGTAAAAAAAATAGCCTGTGCAAAGTTTCACGTCATTAAGGTTGCATAAAAGCATGGTTCCCACAGAAAAATTAAATTTTTCGCGATTTTTTCAAAGAAACTCTGTTGAAACTTGATTGTATCTCAAAGTTAACGTCGGATTCAGGTTTTTCGTGCCAAAAAACTCCCCAATATAAATTTCAAACTTGAATTTATGTCTCTGTGGAAAGATCTATCGAGTTTACAAATTTTTGCATACCAAACCCCTTAGGGGTACCCATCATGGTGGCACCATGGACACACCGATGCACGAATATCGCTCAAAAACAATACCAGCCTATTCCTCGCAATCCCCAACCACCCTGTAAAATCAGATTTGGATTTGGTTTTCTCTGAGAAGAGTTATTGTGCTAACAAATTAGTAGATTTCATGTTGAATTTATGGAGAATTAAATCTTTTACTTTTCCGCACACACATAGTGTGAAAGGGGAAAGTATTGCAATGGGTCAAAATTTACGACATCTCAAAAACATGTTTTCTGGACGTTTCTGAGGTCAGAGAACCCGAATCAGGCCGTTTTGAGCATGGTTGTTGTGGGTCTGTTCCACGTCGTACGTCGTACGTCGTACGTCGTACGTCGTACGTCGTACGTTGTCCGCCGTACGCAAAATTTGTCCATCGATTATCTCACCCCCCAGAAAAGTTATTTGAAATCTGACTTCACGGGATGATTGGGGGTCCCGAGGAATAGAAATCATTAGATTTTGAGCGACTTTGGTCGATGGAAAAAAATGTCATGCCTGTAGTGATACCTATGAAAAAGAGTCCAATTTTCGTCCAAAAGTCATACTTAATGTAGACTTAAACACTCAAAAATATGTATTGGGGGTTTTTTGGCACGAGAAAACCGAATCCGATGTTTATTTTGAGATACAATTAAGTTTTAACAGAGTTTCTTTGAAAAAATCGCGAAAAATTTAATTTTTGTATGGGAGCCATGCTTTTACGCTACCTTAATGACGTAAAAATTTGCACAGACTATTTTTCACACAAAAAAATAACAAAATAGAATACTTTCAAATGTCGTACAAATGGGTTCATCATGAAAGTGTAAAAAATCTTTTCTCGAGTACTTCTGCTATTAAATTAAAAAATATTTCGTTGCCAAAGTTGGAACATATTTTTTGGTCTCGAACTTAACGCCACTTGAAAGGCTTGAAAAATCGAACAAATATTATTTTGAACTTTCTTGATAAAATACGCAACTACCACCGTGCGGAAAAGTTCGTCTTACTCCCGTAAGACTCTTTA